ACCGACCGACCGACCGACGTACCTAACTAACTAACTAACTACTACGTACATAGTAGTACGGTACGGAACGACTACACACACACACACACACACACACACACACACACACACATATATATATATATATATATATATATATATATATATATATATATATACATATACACATACAAATATTCAAACACTCACTTGTGTAGTGGTCTGGTGCGGCCTCAGCGCACCCTCTCTAAATAGCTTGGAGGTAGCGAAGAAGTCTTCCTCGTACTGTTTGATTTCCTCAATGCTCTCGTCTGGCTGCCCTTTGCCTGTGATAACTGCAAAGTACCCCAATGCTTTCATACGGAACAGTTTACCATCCATGATGTTCTTCATGCGCGTCGACGCCGTGTTTTGTGCCTCTGCCACATCCACCTGTGTGTACACGTAAGTGGTAAGTGTTTGCAAAGTATTGTGCGAGTGGGTGTGTATGTTGGAGTGTATCAATGTCAGTGGGGCTCGTATTTATATATATATTGCATATCGTATTAGTATAGTGACAGCAGACAGACAGGGTGAACCTACACACAATAACATCATACATAAAACATACACGTAACATTCTTAACCACCCCGAAAACTCGCTCCTCACTAGGATGCACTGGCAATATATATATATATATATATATAATAGATATATAGATATAGATATAGATATATATATATATGAATAAATATAACGGTATACACACATATATACACATCACTAGGAAAAGCATACACACCTCACAATGTACACTTACACACACATGCACTACACACACCTTGGTAAGCACGAATATAGTTCGCTCTCCGTTCGGGTCCACTTGCGAGACTAAATCAGCCACGTTGCTACGTTCCGCATCCACAGAACCGTCTTGCACACACAGGATAATCGAGTTGGGATTGTTCACGTGGTGTTTGCACATGTCGATGATGCGATCTTTGGTGTCTACCGCCATTCCCGCGGTCACATGGCCTGAGTGTATAGGTGATCTGTTTTAGACTACACATATCTGAAATATACTTGTTTGCCGATACCGGGTTGGTAGGATAAAAAACTGATGTGTGTACGGAAGTATAGGTACATCACCAGGCGTTGTGATTTTGGGTGTCTCCCACGGAGGAGATGGAATCTATATATATATATATATATATATATATATATATATGTTTATATACAAATACATAAAAACATACACATGCACAAACACACACAATATACATATATATATAAACGTATATATATAATATATATATATATATATATATATATTTTCATATATATATATATATATATATA